CATATCACCCACTCTCAGCCTCCCGGGTCCGTTTGGCAGATCTGGTCCAATGAACCAAGAACCCAGATAGGAGAACGGCAGTGGGAACAGGACAGAACCAAATCCTCTCAAAAAGCTATAAAAAAACCTCCAACTTCAGGGAGGAAAAGTAATCATCCTGTAATTGACTGTTCACTAATGGATTCTATTAATTTATGGCCACAAAAGAATCAGCTAATTTGTGGTTAATGGTGTTTAAAAGATAAACAACATAGATTAAATCTATGGAGCCCAACCCGGGTTCACCAGAATCTGTCTGCACAGAAAGCTCTGGATGTGGGAGAGATGAGCCCAGCCCCAGGCTGTGGTGGAGAGTGGAGGTCAGAGGTCTGCTGGGAGCAAGAGATTTGGGTGGAATAGGTAAGTCCCGTCCTCCAAGGTACCAAATATAGTTCCAGAGGAGGCTTGTTTACTCTCTGGCTTTCCTGTAAAATTTCGAGTCCTCTCCTCCCCGACACAACACCATCCCTGCTCTCCTCCCACAGGGACCCCCGACCCCCCGCAGCAGCTCCCTACCTGCCACATTCATTCCCACCTCTGGCCTTCGCGCTTCCTTCACTTGTAGCTGGACTGCCCTTTTCTTTCTTTCCTGGGAAAAATCATCCAGATTATGCAGAGCTAACTTACTGAATGTCCCCGTGGGGAGGATGCCATACTATGCGTTTCACATAACCACATCTCAGGGATTCCTCGACATCCCCTGCAAGGCTGCTCCTGGCCTATTCTCAGCCCCATTTTACTGGTCCGAAAGCTGAGGGCTAGAAAGGTGAAGCAGGTGGCCCAAAGTGTCACTGTGCATGTGGGGTGGCTCTGAGGTTTGAATCCATGTCTTTCTGCTTCCAGAATCCAGGGGCCAGACCAGCATTTCCCAAACCTTACTCATTCTTTTTTTTTGAGATGGAGTCTCGCTCTGTCACCAAGGCTGGAGTGCGGTGGCACTGTCTCAGTTCACTGCAACCTCTGCCTCCTGGATTCAAGTGATTCTCCGGTCTCAGCCTCCCGAGTAGCTGGGATCACAGGCATGTGCCACCATACCCGGCTAAATTTTGCATTTTTAGTAGAGACAGGGTTTCGCCATGTTGGTCAGGCTGGTCTTGAACTCCTGACCTCAAGTGATCCGCCGGCCTCGGCCTCCCAAAGTGCTGGGATTACAGGTATGAGCAACTGTGCCTGGCCTTACTGATTCTCATAACAACATTTTTGCCATGTCTGCTACCACCTATATTTATAATATTTGTTCAAATGGACTCCTTCTCACTTTGATTTTCTGTTAATTTTAGCTTCATCCTGAACAATGTCATCTAGGTCTGATAAGTTAATAACATGGTTGCTTCCAACAAAAGTTTGGAACCAATACCTGACTACTAAAATAAGCATGTGTCTGCTGTGTCCTGCCTTATAATCCTATAAACCTCCGTGGTTCAAGAGCTACCCACATTTTAACCATACATCCCAAAAAACCATAATCACACGGCGTGTGTCCTGCTCACCACAGGCAGCATGCACAATCGAATTCTACCCTTCATCAACCCTTTCCTGTTACAAGCCACCCTTGGAAAGGCACCCAGAGCCCTCCTCTTGCCTGAAGCCCTCTTTGACTCCTCTAGCCCAAAAGCACCCCTCCCTTTGTGGACAGCTAGAAAATTCATGCCATGAGCAAGCCACAGAAAGATGGGATAAAAAACAGGATGTGGCTTTTGTTTCTTCCAATAGACTGGGAGATCTTGGAGGATTAAAAGAAAAAAAAGAAAAACAAACAATTCCTATACCTTGATGTCTAAGCTCCGGGAAACGGAGGTGGACGCATACAGCAGGCGCCCAATAAAGGCTGGAAATGATGGACAGTACAAGGAGGAGGCCAGGCAGCACTTCCACGGCTGGTGTGGGGCCCACCTGAATCATCCTTCCTCCTTTGCTAACAAGGCTCCAAACTTCCCCTGGGGACACTCCCTCCCTTCCCTCAGCCCAGGGCTCCAGGGTGGGCCTGGGACACAGCCTGGCCAGTCCATGCAGAACGCCCCCCGTCACCATTGCCACTGGTTCAGAAAGCGGCTCTGTTACCCAAACCTGGCTGAGGGAGCCAGGCCCAGCGCTTTTGTTTAAACAGCTGGGGAAGGAGCCGCTCTCTTTCTTGCCGGCTTGAACCTGGGAGCCGTGAGCCTGGAGACACTGTCACCTTCCCGCTCCCACGGGGAGCCTGGGAGTTAGAGCCCCTGGGGAAGAGGCAGAGACATGAGAGAGTCCAGGGCTTGGCGATGTGATTTGATATCCTGGATCGAGACATTCCTGAAACTAAGAGCTACCCTCGGATTTTTCAGCCAAACATTTTTTCTTGGCATAAGCCTTTTCGAATTGGGTTTTCTGTTACTTGGGACCAAAGTAACAGAAAGGGTTCCGTGGAGGAGCCCTTGACCGGGAGTCAGGGAAGCAGACTCCATTGCATCTGGGGCCTAAATGACCCTGCGTGAGTCATCTCACATGACCCTGCCTCAAAGAGGCCTTCCCAGACCATTCTGCCAACAACAGTTTCCGTCTCTCCAGACCCCTCATTTCCTCATCCAGCCCCGTCATTCCACAATATCACATTCGATATTCATGGCCTTGTTTGCCAGTACTCTGTCTCCCTCACTGCGGCATCCTCAGAACTCAGAATAAGGCTGGCACGCAGAGGCCTCCTGTAAATATTTGTTGCAGGATTGTGCCTCAGTTTCTCCAGCTGTAAAATGGGAGAGCAGTGTTGCATTGTCTCTCAATATCCTTCCAACAGGGCTACATTTGCTTTCATTCTCTCATTGCTGCTATCCAGACCTCCAGGAACATGGCGCAAGGTCTCACCCAAAGGCGCTGGACTGCCTCCCAGAGAACCATCTTTCCCACAGAATAGAAGGTTTTATGATTTTCCTCCATTCCTTCCTCTGTCTACACAAGCTCATCGACTAGGGAGTCCCTCTTGATGTCTAACCTAATATTTCATGCTGCAACCCAAGTCTATTGATGAACATCTTTCTGAGTCCTGGAGTTCAGCAGCTCGACTGTTGATTTCCAGACATTCCCAGCCAAGTAAGAACATGAAAGAACCAGTTTAAAGTGAGAAGAAACCTTTTAAGAGAAGGAAAACGGCTTTAGCGGGGAGAGGCCCTCATTTTCTTCCCATGACCAGCTTCTGACTCGTCAGAAAGCTCTCTTCTTGTCTCCACACCTATGAACACATCTCTTCCGGAGATGTGGGTACAAAAGATGAGAGTAAAATAAATAATCTGTTTAATCATTCTTATTGTCAAAACAACGGCTGGGCCAAAATACCAAGGCTCTGATTCATCCCAACTGATGTCCCTTCTAGGGAGGAGGCAGGAGGCAGGGAAGTAAGAATTTTTAAACCCGTTTTCCAGATGAGCTCCAAGGAGGCTGGGACCGTCCCGAGCACCAACCCCAGGTAAGCAACAGAAGCAAAACCACTCTCTCTCTGTGGTCAGGAATTGGCCTTCTCTTCATTTAAACAGGGCAGAATTCAATGGCCAGGCATGGTGCCTCATATCTGTAATCCCAGCACTTTGGAAGGCCAAGGCAGGTGGATCACTTGAGCTCAGGAGTTCGATACCAGCCTGGTCAACATGGCGAAATCCCATCTCTACTAAAAAAAAAAAAAAAAAACTTAGCTTGGCGTGGTAGCCGCACCTGCAATCTCACCTACTCAGGAGCCTGAGGCAGGAGAATTGCTTGAACAGGAAGGCAGAGGCTGCAGTGAGCTGAGATCGCGCTACTGCACTCCAGCCTGGGTGACAAAGCAAGACTTCATTTCAAAAAAAATAAATAAAAATTAAAATAGGCTGGGTGCAGTGGCTCATGCCTATAATCCTAACACTTTGGGAGGCAGAGGCAGGTGGACCACCTGAGGTCACCAGCCTGGCCAGCATGGCGAAACCCTGTCTCTACTAAAAATATAAAATTTAGCTGGGTGTGGTGGCGGGTGCCTGCAGTCCCAGCTATTTGGGAGGCTGAGGCAGAAGAATCACTTGAACCTGGGAGGCGGAGGTTGCAGTGAGCTGAGATCACATGACCACACACACTCCAGCCTGGGTGACAGGGAGACTTCATCTGAAAAAAAAAAATGAAAATAAAAATAAGTGGGGCAGAATTCAAAGGAAGATTCACATAGTACCTAGCTTGAAGGTTTCATCATTTATTCACTCATTCATTCATTCATTCATTCAAGAGAATGAAAAGCCTCAACTGAGCACCTCCCCTACGCCCCAACCTGGGTGTCTTCCCAAGGCACCTTGCACCCTCCCGACCCTTCTGGAAGAGGAAAGTCAGGAATCATCTGTCCATTGGCTGAGTCGAGGGGTTGAATGATGTTATCATTGAAAATATTGTCCTAGCTTGTTCTTTGTCTTTTAATTTGTGGTGTATCTTGACGTCCAGGCATTGTTAATGTTTATATAGTCAGATCTTTGTGTCTTTCCTTTGAGGACTCTGGCCTGAGATACCTAGAAAGGGCCCCACAGGGAGTGATGTTTAGGGCCATATTTACAGCCGTATGTCATGAGCAGTTAGGGGTGCAAGGAGGTAAACCCGGATCATGCTTTTATTTTACAAACGAGGAAACTGAGGCTCCATGGTGAGTAAGCAACCCTGCCGGAGTCTGGGATTCTGCCCAGGGCTCTTTCTGGACATAACGAGTTGCTCACAGATGCCTTATAAAAATTAAGAAAAGACAGAGGCTCTGGACCTCCTGGGCTGCATTTCGGAGTAATTGTCACAGCTTCTGTGAAGCCAGGGACAATCGCATTCACCCTATAACTTCCATGTCAGCTGCTTTGCTCTGAATATCCATCCACTGTCCCACTGTGACTACAGACACTCAAACCCGTTCCCCTGAAGGCCCTTCTAGGCTTATGAAGCAGACACCATCAGGGAAAACACGAAACGAGTCAACGTAAGCATTCAAAATTCCTGGGACTGTGCTCACTCCAGCTGCACATATAGTAAAATTGGAACGATACAGAGAAGACGAGCATGTCCCCTGCACAAGGATGACGTGCAAATTTGAGAGACATTCCATATTTTTTTAATAATAATAATAAAAAATTCCTGGAACAGTGAACTCATGGAAGTGGAGGGTAGAATGGTGATCGCCAAGGGTTGGTCAAAGGATAAATATTTTCAGTTAGAGAAGAGTAAGTTCAAGTGATCTGTTGTACTGCACAGTGACTATAATCAATAACAAAATATTCTCTTTTTTTTTCGCTCTTGTTGCCCAGGCAGGAGTGCAATGGCATGATCTCAGCTCACTACAACCTCCACTTCCAGGGTGCAAGCGATTCTCCTGCCTCAGCCTCCTGAGTAGCTGGGATTACAGGCATGTGCCACCACGCCCAGCTAATTTTGTATTTTTAGTAGAGACGCGGTTTCTCCATGTTGGCCAGGCTGGGCTCGAACTCCCAACCTCAGGTGATCTGCCCACCATGGCCTCTCAAAGTGCTGGGATTATAGGCATGAGCTACCGTGCCCGGCCTAATAACAAAATACTCTTGAAAATCAGTAAGAGCAGATTTTAAATGTTCTTACCACAAAGAATGTTAAGTATGTGAGGGAATGCATATGCTAATTAGCCTGAATTAGCCATGCTACCAGGTATACATATTTCAAAACATCATGTTGTACACAACAAATATATGCAACTGTATTCATTATAATTACCTACTTTTTAAAACCCTTGGACATAAAAAACCATCACTAATACAATTAAAAGACATAAAACAATGAGGAAAAATATTTCCAACCTACATGACAAAGTATTTAGCCTTTTAAAATAGACAAAGCTCATATAGGGGCATAAAAATGGCTAAAGAAAAATGACAGGCAAGTCACAGAAATAGAAATAAAAGTGGGCAATGCACACAGGAGAAACGTTTAGATTCATGAGGAATCAATCAATGGAGGTGGAAATTGTAACAACATTCCTTCGTATGCCTTTCAGAGTAGCAATATTTGAAAAGAATGGGAACCCTCGGTGTTAGCCAAGTGGGGAAATGCCAAGCTTACAACTGGAGGAAGGAAAGAGATTCAGCTCTTCTGAGTTCTAGAATACATGTTAAAATCCTTGAAAAAACATTTTTTATTCCTAAGGAATTATTTTAAAACTCTGTATAAGGAAGGAAATGTAATTCCATATCATTATATGGGGAAAGCTGAAAGTAGCTTATAGGTTCAGCACCGAAGTCTGTATTGGTGAAATATTCTACAGTACAGACTTTGCTGTAACAATCTGAAGCCACGGAAGTGAATGATGCTTCATAAAAGATGATGACGACATGCAGTTAAAAAAATTAGATTAATAAGCCGGGAGCTGTGGCTCATGCCTGTGATCACAGCACTTTGGGATGCTGAGGTGGGAGGATTACTAGAAGCCAGGAGTTCAAGACCAGCCTGGCCAACATGGTGAAACCCAATCTCTACTGAAAATACAAAAATTAGCCAGGCGTGGCGGCATGTGCCTGTAATCCCAGCTACTCGAGAGGCTGAGGCAGGACAATCACTTGAATCCTGGAAGTGGAGGTTGCAGTGAGCCAAGATTGCACCGCTGCACTCCAGTCTGAGCAACAAAGCCAGACTCCGTCTAAAAAAAAAACATTGGGTTACAAATCAGTATATATACATTATTCCATTTCTGAAACACACACACATACATGAATACAAGTACACAGAAAACAATTTGGAGGAGATATTCACTAAATTGTTAGCAGTGGTTTTCTTCAGGAGGTAGAATTATTTACATTTTTTTCTCTGCATTGTCATTGATGTATACCAGGACTGAAGAAGATGAGGAGGGGCCGGGGAGACAGACTCATATTTCCTTTGGCAATGTTATTTGTCATAAACTTTCTAGGCAAATACGTTGGTATTTATCAAAAGTCTTAATATGTGTGAATCATTTCACCAGTAATTTTACTTCTAGGAAATTACCCTAAGGAAATAATCACAGATGTGTGCAAAGACTTATGTATCAGGATGTCCATTGTACAGTTATTTACAAGAGCAAAAAGTTGGAACCAGTCTAAATATCCAACAATAGAGAATTGTTTAAATAAGCATCGGTTTGCTTTTACAGTGAAGAGCTATGCAGTCATTTAAAGTGATGTTGCATATTCGATGTCATGACAAAACATTCTTGCCATAAAGAAAAAAACAGTTTAAAATGGCATATGATAGCAATATTGCAAAATATGATACACAATAAATTATGAATTCTTATGTACAAAATGCTGAAAGGCAGATGTTTGTGGTGGTGATCATTGAGTGATAGGGTTCCAGGTCATTTTGTTGTTTCTTTGTGTTTTCCTACACTTTGCAATTTCAGAACAAAAAAACAGGCTACTGCCGCAATATGATCTTCTTTAAGAAAAAAAAAAAAATCTCAGGATCGTAGAAACAAAAAGAAACTCACCGCCGGGCACAGTGGCTCACGCCTGTAATCCCAGCACTTTGGAAGGCAGAGGCAGGTGGATCGCCTGAGGTCAGGAGTTTGAGACTAGCCTGACCAACATCGTGAAACCCTGTCTCTACTAAAAATATAAAAAATTAGTCGGGAGTGGTAGCGGACGCCTGTAATCCCAGCTACTCGGGAGGCTCAGGCAGGAGAATCACTTCAACCCTGGAGGCGGAGGTTGCGATGAGCAGAGATTACGCCGTTGCACTCCAGCCTGGGCAAGAAGAACGAGACTTTGTCTCAAAAAAAAAAAGAAAAGAAAAAAAGAAACTCATCATTCAACTCTGTAAATTCTCACTTCTAAGCCAGACTGCTTGGCGATGACAATGATAGAGCTAATTGAGAAATCAAATGGCCACCGGGTTTATGATTCAAATACGTCCCCTCTAGCCATCCCCCTCAGTGCCACCTGGAATCGGTCCTGCCCTCAAAGCTGCTCCCAGTCAATCCATAAGCTGTAGAGGGTGGGGAAGAAAACTGACCTGTTTTTATTTATTTATTTATTTATTTATTTATTTTTGAGATGGAGTCTCACTCTGTCGTCCCGGCTGGAGTGCAATACCATTATCTTGGCTCACTGCAGCCTCCACCGCCCGGGTTCAAGCGATGTCCTGCCTCAGCCTCCTGAGTAGCTGGGATTACAGGTGCCCACTACCACACCTGGCTACTTTTTCGTATTTTTAGTAGAGATGGGGGTTCACCATGTTGGCCAGGCTGGTCTCAGACTCCAGACCTCAGGTGATCCACCCGCCTCGGCCTCCCAAAGTGCTGGGATTATGGTCATGAGTCACCTGAGTCACCGCGCCGGCCGGAAACTGACCTGTTTTGAATATTAGGGACAGAATCCTGCTGCGTCCAGCTGGCCGCGCTGCTCACACTGGCTCAGTCATCTCTGTTGCGTAATGGTGAGGAATTCGCCTTATTCTCAGAAAGCCTATTGTCAGGACAGCACAGAAGTTTCTAAATATGTGTTCCCGGCTCATCCCCTTTTCTTGTGGGGAAAATCAATCCATTTGCCAAAGATAGTTAAAGTCACAGAAAGCCTGGAACTGCATCCCTGGTTGTCAGGATTTTTATTATCCCGGAGGCTCCTGGCTCAAACAGCTGAGATCTTCGATCCTAACTACCTCTCACTGCTCATGAGGACCAGAATAGGAGCAGGTTGCAAGTGGAGAAGCTCCCAAATAGGGCATGAAGTGAGTACCCAAGGCCACCCCCAGACGGGTGGGGCGGGGACCAGGGACAGGGCAGACAGAAGGAAGCACTCCTTGACAGCTGCCTTAAATACCGGATGTGGGGAGAGAATTCTGGGCTCACCAGTGGGTTTTTAGGGGCCTCTCAAGACAGCTCCAGGGAATGCTGTGTCTCCTTCCTTCTATTCCTCCCTCCCTCTTTCCTTTCCCCTTTCTTTCCCCCTTTTCTTCCCCCTTCCTCCCTTCCCTCCTTCTCTTTCTCTAATTTTTGTATTTTTAATAGAGATGGGGTTTCCGCCTCCTCCCTCTCCCTTCTTCTCTCCTCCTTGCCTTCTTCCTTCTTTTCTTCCCTCCCTTTCTTCCTTCCTTTTGTTCTTTCCTTCCCTTCTTCCTTCCTTCTTCCTTCCTCCCTCCTTTTTTCCCTCCATCCCTCCTTCCTTCTTTCCCTCCTTCTTCCTTCCTTCTCCCTCCCTCCCTCTCTGCTGTGCCTCCTTTCTTCCTATTCCCGTAACTATCTACGGATCACCCAGCACGTGCCAAGCTCCTGCCTAGCCCTGCATGATGAGCAAACCCGACAGAGCGCTTTCCTCGTGGACGTCCAGTCCAGCACGGTGCTGCCCAAGCAATGTATGACGTGAGCCCTAGAAGTCATCTGAAATCTTCTAGTAGCCACAAATCAAATTACAAAAATAAACAGGCACACTGAATGTTATCCTCCATTTTAGTTAACCCACTATATCCAAAATATTATCACTTTGGCATGTAGTTAATATTTGTCAATAATTAATGAAATTGTTTATAGTCCGTTTTTCAGACTAAGTCTTTGAAATCCAGTGTGTGTTTTATACTCACTGCGCATCTCAACTCAGTCCAGTGGCATTTCAAGTACTCAGTAGCCACTGGGGTCTGAGGCAGAGATTCTCAACCTGGCTCCCAGCGCTGTAGTGTGGGCTGTGCTGTGCATTGTGGGGCACCCAGCGGCAACCCTGGACTCTGTCTCCTAGTTACAGTAGTGTCCTCTCTCTCCAGATGCAACCACCACAAATGCCTCCAGACACTGCCAAATGTCCCCTGGAGGTGGGAGCAAAGTTGCCCCCTGTTGATCTAGTGTCCACTGCACTGGACGGCATGCGTCTGGCAAGGCAGGGAGGGTGCGGTGAGCACCTGAATGCAAGGGCGGGTGCAAGGGAGGGGCCGCACCGTGAAGAAGAGTGACAGCACATGGCAGGTGACCCCACTGGCCAGGAGGAGGGTCCCAGATGACCAGGGTTTAAGCTGAGACCTTTCTCAAGTCCAACAACCACACGTCCCACAGAAGGCTAAGCTGGGATCTGATGGCCTGGAGAGATTACCTCCCGGCTCTGAGCCTCAACTTCCCTACCTGTG